GACCGGAGGAGTACTATAAGCTTCAGTAGGAGGAATACACGAACGGCATCTTTTTAGTATTTAATGTGGAGTCCATCATTGGGGGCCAGGTGCCTGTATAATTTCTTCAGTGGGATCGTTTTTCGTTCTTCTTTATCAAATTCACTGAACATATGCATGCCATTAGTTGCTACGAAAGTACAATCATATCAGTTTCTTCATTGATAAAAATGCCATAATCATAACTACATTGTCCTTCAGGGTTTAGTTCGAGCTGTTGGAGTGAGCAATTACGGACCGAGGCAACTATTGAAGATACATGATTATTTGAAAGCGCGGGGAGTCCCCTTATGCTCAGCCCAGTGAATAAATAAATATTTATTCATAGCTGTAGAATTTGAAGTTGCAGGATTCGCCGGACAAAACGGGCAGTTATTTGTAGTTCCAGGCTCTCAATAGTGATAAATAAGCATAGTCCGACTCCGAGCCAGTCGTAACCGATAAATGTCTTCGAGATGCTTTAAAGAACAAGAAATAAAATGCCAAGCAAAATATACTTCCAAGTTACTACTAAAGCCAGCATCAACTGTATATTTACATTCCTATTGCGTTTCTGGAAGAGAGATCAATTTGATGAACATGAGTACCCACACTTCAAGCTGTTGAGTTTTTTAATTTTGGGATATTGGACCATCCATGTCTGTCTGGAGCCACCTACCAGAATTGGGTGTTTTGCTTGTATTCTTACTGCTCTTCATATCTCAATAATTTGCAGGTGCAGTTTTCTCTGCTGAGCATGGGGAGAGATCAGTTAGAGATAAAGAATATATGTGATTCTCTGGGCATTCGCTTGATCGCTTATAGTCCTTTAGGACTTGGTATGCTTACTGGGAAATATTCACCATCGAAGCTTCCAACCGGGCCTCGGTGTGTTGATATTTAAGTTTTGGCGCGCATTATATGTCATGCCATTAATTGACAGTTGTGCATTATTAGCTTTTCTGAATTGTAACTAAGTTATAATCTTGCCTCGCAGGGGCTTGTTGTTCAGACAAATCCTACCTGGATTGGAGCCTTTACTGGGTTCCTTGAGTGAGATTGCTAAAAACGACGCAAAAGCATGGCGCAAGTAAATATCTTTTCCCCTTGTGCCTGGTTTCTGGCTGCGACACACGCACAAGCAATTTCGTGTCACCATCACTCCCAGGAAAAAAATTGGAAGTGTGATACATCTGACAAGGGTAGTTTGGTTCGGTGATGTTGCCGGCAGCGATAACGAAGGACTAACGGTTTGGTAATATGATGGCAGGTAGCGATAAATTGGTGTGTGAGCAAAGGGACGATACCAATACCAGGAGTGAAGTCAATAAAACAAGCACGAGAAAATTTGGGTGCTCTTGGGTGGCGCCTCTCTTCAGATGAGTTGCTTCAGTTAGAATTTGCAGCACAGGAGTCTCCTCGCAGCATGATCCAGAACATTTTCCAAACCAGGTGAAACTCCTCTCAATCCGCTTCATCATTTTATATTTTCTGCATATACTTGTGTAAGATACCTAGCGTCTTTGACACCAAAAGGAAATTTGGGAGGAAAAAAGAAACCATCGACTGATAGCTCGGCATTCATTTATTACAGATAAATATTAAAGGGTGAAACGCAGCCTCGATACAAGATGAAGACCTCGAAACACTTCCCATTGGTTGAACGTTTCAATGGTTATCCGGACGAGCCAGATGTTCAGGGAAAATTAGGTGTTCCATATTTTGGTCGCCCTTGCTAAACTTTACTGAAGCACCACAACTGATTAGAGCGTCAGGGCACTGCATTGTAAATGCACGTTAAAAACATCATTTGCTGGCTGCCGTGAAGAATACTTTCGCCACATCGCCTCTAAGATGCGAGGAGTGCAATTTACTTTTAAGTGTTAGAACGAGCCATTTAATCTTTCCTAGTAAATAATTTAAAATATTTGGTTCTCTTTATTATGTTCACAAATCGAAGAAGGTTGACTTGTAAAATTTCAATCTTCTGGTAACTAGCAACAATTTAAACATGCTAAGGAAAACAAAGACGCTGGCCAATTTCAATGGTAAGAGAAGCACGGTATCATCACATAAAACGGAAACATAATTCGTTTGAATGCATCTCAGAAAAAGATCAAAATCATAAGAAACTATGGCAGTGCAATTCCAAAAATATTTGTAGCTCAACTACGAACCTACAACCCTAACACTCCAGAGCTATCAGGACTCCAAGGCCAATGCCGAAATCCATGATAACACCGCATAACTCGCGAAAGAAACAGTCTACTTGATTTTCTTCTTTGGCCTCAGCTGCAATTTAAGAAATAAACACACTGATTAAACTATAACGATTACAAGAAGAAACGACATTATAATAAATGGTCAAAAATGTAACTAACAGAAACAGAACAACAAAATGCATACTTGGTTGCTGTGTCCACACTTCTTTTTCCTGCAGTTGACCGCACGAGGGTGTAACGAGCATAACACCTGCAAGCAAGCGTGCGAAACAAAAGTACAGCAATGATCACACTATTGACAGGTATGAAGCCAATTCATCTAACCTAAGCATTAAGCCACTAATATCTTCCAAGACGTAGGAATGAACATATGATGAAACTCAATTATGCCGGGCCTTAGCCCTAAGCCAAACAGACCAGCTGTCTTTCATCCAGTAACTGAACATAAGCAGTACAATATTCTGATAACATAAGAAACATATATAATAATCCACTACACCTAGAACATCCTACTTCATATGATTTCGAATTATTGTCTGAAAGGAAGAATCTGAAGTCCACTAAAATTTGAAAGTTGCTGATGATGACATTCATTTTAAATGACATTGAAAAATTTCTTGCTCTTAAACTAGAGAGACAGGAAGCAAAAGCAACATAATCAAAACTCAGTAGATAAGGTCGCTTAAAACAGATTTAAAATTCAACATATTGATGGTTGGGACCGATTACCTCTTGGCAAATCACATGCAACGACTCACAATTTGGGTTCCTAACATGAACATAAAGCAATTCTGCGTGAACTTACTTGCGGCAGATCATCTTGTCCTGATTATATTTCCTGGCCAATGCCATCAATGACGGCTCAATGATGCCACCTCTAAGCCTCAAAACAAGGTGCAATGTTGACTCTGCAAAATATGTGAAGGATCCGATAAAATTCATAATTCAAGTGGGGGCTGAAAGAAGTATATGACATCTAGTTTTCATACACCATCCAGTTAAATAAAATTTCGACATTCACAGTTGGCTCACCATAGATTAAATCGAATCTGACTAATAACAAACTTGTCAATGCTCTTCTCATATGTCTTTCCCAGAAAGACACCAGCGGGAGACATAAACAGGACATCCCATGATCCAAATCCTTTGAGACAACTGAAACGATTATTCGTTTTTCTTGTTGGGATTGAATGAACAATAACAGACAGCTTCAACTACAAATTTCCCCACATGTTTTTCCCCGCTTTTAAAGCATCTAAACAGCCAAGGCTAGGTGAACTGTAAGACTAACCTTTCTGAATGTTATAATCGGCAAGAGTACGGCCATCCTCCAGCTGCTTCCCGGCGAATATCAACCTCTGTTGGTCCGGTGGAATGCCTAGACGAGAAGAACAACCACGGTTAATAATAGGGAGCAAAATTGATTATCGATTATATTATTCAACCATAGGACGAAGAAACGTGCCTTCTTTGTCCTGAATCTTTTTCTGAATCTTAGCTTTGACATTGTCAATGGTATCACTGGATTCGACCTCGAGGGTGATGGTCTTGCCAGTAAGGGTTTTCACGAAGATCTGCATGACGGCCGATTCCTTTGCGCCTCCTACCTCTGTCGGATAAGGTTTCCTCCGCGTCTGATGGTTCTTAATATATAGGGGTATTTTCTGATTAGGGTTTTCCGAGAGAATTTCAGAATACATAAGTATTTGTTGGCAAAAAAAAACAGAATATACAAGTAATTTTATTTATTTATCATTTATCCCATAATCTACTTTATTTTCACTGTCGATGGCCAAAAAAAATTATTTTCCCTCAATTGGATAGAATTAATTTTATAAAATTAGTTTTAGTATCTATTTGCCTATTTGGATTGGATTGGGAACACAAATTATTTAGTACCTACTTTATAAAATTCATTTAACATGTTTACATCTTTAGCTCAAAATAATCCAAATTAAATTTTTTTATACAAAAACTAAATACTTACTTTTGCGCTTTATGTGAAATTGTTTTTGTTGCAAACTATTTTTTGGTTTTTGTTATTATCGTTTAAATATTCAATTTTAGAAAATACTTTAAATATGTAATTACTTTACAACCCACATTCACATGAAGTTGCGACATGCCCACATATGATTCATAGTGACAATACTTTTATTGATACGAATGGGTTTTCTTGGTGATTTGATCATGCCTCTAATGCATTTTTATGAGGCTGGATGAGAATTATATGATTTCATGTCTAATTTAGTTATGTTGAAAATATTTCAACTCATATGGTACAAGCGAAAAAATTTTAAAAAAATATTTTGGAGTACTTATATATTTTTTTTTTCAATTTTTGGTTTAGTGCATATGTATTTTTTTTCTTTTAATCAAAATTTTAATTTTGTTCTATTAACATCATAAAGACTAAAATACTAGTAGAACAAAGTTATAAGAGTTAATGTTATTTAAAAAATAAATTAAATAATTTAATTAAGAGAAAAAAATACATAGGTACTAAATTTAAAAAAAAAAATATAGGTACCTCTATATGGTTTTTTTCCAAAAAAATTTTTTTGATATTTTTTCTTATATAATACAAAATTCTTGTTTTGTTTGAAATACTTTATTAAAAACACACCACAAGTATTTTTTTAATTTTTTTAAATGGGATATAACATGGAATGAGTTTGGGTGCTCATAACTCTTGATGAGCATTCCAAACTCATCAGATTTGAAATGATCAGGTTAGATCTAAATGATTTGAATTTAATTTTGATTTTATTTTATTTTTTCAAATAATTACTTTAATAAGTATAAAATAAAAAATGATTTCTTAACTATCATATTTTCAAAAAATAATTTTCTATTTTAATATAATTATTTAAAAATATTAAATCTGAACGGTTTAAATTGCTCATCTCAATTCAACTTGATGAGCTATAGTGCTCATGATAACCAGGTCTGATATAAATATAATTATTAATTATGATAATTCAACTCGGTCTTCAATTTCAAATGAGTTTTAATATAAGAGCTTATTTGATTTTTATTTAATTTTTAATATAAGATTCCAATTTAATTTTTTTTTTTCATATTTATTTATTTTTTTCTAAGATAGTCTTGTAATGATAGTAATTATAACCAATACACTTGATTAATAAGAATATTTTGAAAAAAAATAACACTTATTTATTATAAATAAGTAAGTTAACTAAGAAAGTATTCATTGATCACAGAGGCTGAGTCATCTTCAATCTCTAGGAGCTCAGCAATCTAAAGGCTCCGATTCATGGTTTCGTCGCCTTCCCTTCTTCTTCTCCTTCCATCGTCTCCCATCACCTGCAATTTCTCGAGATCGAACTAATTAGAAGCATTCCAATGATACGCTATAAATGGCATGAAACAAACTAAACTAGATTTTGAACCCAGCCATAGTCTAAAAGCCTTTATGGTGGGGCAAGTCGTAGATATTGTCTCATCAAAGCATATCAAACAATGCGGATATCAAGTTTCTTGTGGTGGTAGTCAAAGAATCCAAAATTTGAATGTGCTTTGCCTTTACTTCTTAGACCGAGAAAAGAATATAAAAATTGAGATATAAATACGGGTGATGTTGTGATGACAAACCACTCGAACTGAAATTAACGCAAAGTGCTAATTTCATTGTCCACTGTGGAATGGCTTTGTCCACTGTCTTCCTCACTTCTTCTTCATGCGTTCCACAAACACAAACCAGGCCCTTGAGTGTCCCAAAGCCACTTTCAGCAGTGTCCCCCACGATGCCATTGATGATGCCACGCCAAGCTTCACAGAAATCTCAATACCAACCCCTGATGAAATCCAACGGTAGGAGATTGTTTGGCACAGTAGTGAAGGCAATCAAGAGGGAGGATAAGAGCTTTAAGAACGTGGAAATTTTCTCCGAGGACCATCTTCTTGAGTCTTTGGCTCGTGATATCGCTGAACTCTCCCAAAGATCCATCAAAGAGAAAGGATCCTTCTCAGTTGCTCTGTCTGATAACTCTTCTGTCAGATTCCTCAGGTCACTGCTCTTTTCTTCTTCTTTTTTTATAATTATGTTGCGATATCAATTACCAGTTAATTATGAATATAGTTTGGTGGTGGTGGTGGTGATTTTGTATATATGGGGTCGGAGATTTTCAGGAAGTTGGCGGAACCTCCATATGTCAATACAATAGATTGGTCGAAGTGGCAGTTCTTTTGGGTGGAAGAAGAAGTGTTCGTGCCAGCAGATCAGCTAAAAAAGCGACTTGTGCCCAACGATCAAGTCGTCGCAAAGATTAACCACAAGCTCGCTTACGACGAATTTCTCACCATGGTAAATATATGATAACTTCCTTTCGTTACACCTTATAATTTCATTCATTCTAATGCCTGAAATATAACGTACTGATAAATGTTCTTCAGGTATCACGAACAGCCGGAACTTAAATGTTAATACCATTGACTACGACCTATCAGAGCGGGAAGAAGCAGCGGATCGTTACCAGAAGAAACTCGAAATCTGGGGGTTTCCAAGAACCAGATAGCAAAATCCAACAAAAACCAGCTTCCTAAATTCGATCTGATGTTGCTGGGATTGGAACCAAATGGACGTGTGGGTTCTCTGATGCCGGATCATCCAGTTCTTGACGAGACAGAGAAATGGGTGGCTTCTGTGGAGGACAGGGAGAAGGAAACGATCCGAGTGACTCTGACTCTGCCGGTGATAAATTCAAGTTCCAACATAGCAATGGTGGTGGCTGGCTCTGCTAGTTCTGATGCAGTTTATTCTGCTTTCAAGCACGATAATCAACAAGATTCTCGCAAGCTTCCTGCTAAACTGATCTCACCTGAGGAAGGTGAACTGGTGTGGTACATGGATAAAGCTGCCGCTTCTAAGCTCTTCAAGGAAGAAGTCCATATCGACAAACGCTCTCAATTAGTTAGTTAATAACTAGCTAATATTAGCATATGTGCTGCGTTCTGGTCGGAATATTGTCGGCAGCTTCTGAGAAATTAAAGAATCGTACGTCGTCTGTCATCGCAGGTGGTGGACGACATGTTCTGCTTTTGCATTCGGAGTGAATGTGGTGTTTGGCCTCTGTCATGTCACTTGGCAGCGGCACGCACACTATTTCCCAATAATAAGAACTTGTTATTTTGTTGTGTCATTATTACTGTTATATTGTAATCGGTATTTTGTACGTCGAGATGATTTGTTTAATTTTGATGGAATGTTAATGAAATTACTGTATTACACCAATCAAACCGATAGAGTACTCAGTACTCACTATATAAGAATATTGGCGAAATACGTGGGTCCACAAAATCAGACAACGACAACACTATCACGGATGTGCTATGTAGCGTTTGAGAGTAGGGAGAAGAAATGGAATGGAGCCGCCAACATGATTAATTAAAAAGATTATGACATTGTTTTTGAGGATTTTCCAAAAAGAATTAAAAGAGTTAATTAGGAGAGCCTCTCATGCCTTCCTTAACAAATAAGATCGTAAGTATGGCTAAATAGTCTATCACAAACTTATGACCTGGCCTGAACTATTTTAAAACAAGTGCAGGCTCAGGCCTTTTTTAAAGCCTGTTCCTCTTATGAAGCTAGGCCCAAGCTTTCTGATAAGCGCATTAAGCCTGTCAGAAGGCCTGTGCTTGTTATTATTATTATTTTTGGTTCCCGTTTGATTCATCTAAGTTTCCTCCTATTTTAGAAAATAATAATAAAACAAAACTCTAAATCAATTCTGTTGGATCAGAACTTAGCTTTCTTGACCGTGTTTTTGATTGAACTAAAACAAGGGAGTTGCAACATCAAATGACCTTTCAATGTTTTGAAGAAATTTAGTTTTTGTTGTTGCGGGTGAACACTGAAAACAACGACAAGAATAATTTTAACAAGAAGGATGCTGATATTGAAAGGCCTAATGAATTAGAGAATTATATTGCAATAAGAAAAGGTTCCACTTGTGGAAGAAAATCATTGTGTTTCTTTTTGTTTGATATTCAGTCTCTGTCATTTAAAATACTTACGCAAGGAGAATAAATCTCTAGAGTTGTATTATACGCTTAAATATGCTTCCAGACTCAATTTAAGAGGGGGGTAGGATTATTCATGACATCAACCATTTATAAAACATCATTATTTCGTTGCCCACATAACTGTTGTTTTCTTTTTTTTTTTTTTCCCTTTCTGCAAATGAACCTCACATATATAAACATGGAGATATGCAGATTTAGTGCAATCTGAGTTCATTTTCAGTGCTAGAGGTAGAGTGATAGATGAATATCGTTCTAAATTGAATGAAGAATCAATTAAAACATTTATTTGGTTTCATATTTTATGTTTGCATTTTAGATAATTTGGATTGAGTGGTTATAATTTTAAATTGATTTATATATGTTTAAAATTTTTTAAAAATACAAGTTTTTTAATAGGCTTCAGGCCAGGGCAGGGATCACAAGCCAAACCCAAGCTAAGTAATAATCTATGTTATTGATATTGATGCGTCAATATCACAAACACGACAATCATGACACTCAACCTGCAGCACAGCATAGCGGATAATAGGAACTAGCTTTTGTGCTTATCACAATTGAGTACCATGATACTCATTATTGTGGTGACATCTAAACCATTGAGCTATGGTTTTAATGTTTTAGATTTAAAATTTTCAATTAGTAATTATTAAATAAAAAATGAATTTTTTTAAAAAAACGTACAATTAAGATTACATTTATTCTGGATTATGTATCTATTGAAGAAAAATATTTTAAAAAAAAACAAAAATATTACATATCAGCTGTTCATATTAAATTTAAATAGATGTTTATCACTGTGATAAGCACTAAAATGGGTTCTGCGAGAAGCCTATGTAATTCCAAGGACAGCTGAATTATTATACCGTCTGAGTTGGATTTTCTGCTGTCTTAAATATACAATGCTCAACTGCGTTTATAAAGTAAAGAGATTCGCATTACTTTTATATTCTATTTTAGGTTTCTACTTTATATAGCAGATATGTTCCCTTCCAATAACATGTTGTCGCATATTTTTAGGTTTTAAAAATCGAGACCCTACAGACAAATCTCACTTTACTGTTTGAAAAAAAAAAGGTAATTCATTATTATCAAAAACTTGGTTTAACTAATAATAGAGAATTTAATCAGAAGTTTTAAATTTGAGTTCTGATACTGCATTTGGGTGAAATAGAAGAGTTTTGATATTTTTGACGTCTCCATCGACTTAATCCGCTTTAGTTTGAACCCAAAGATACCTTAAAACCCAAATTTACTTTTGCATAAAATTGTTAGATAAATTATCTATGTCAATATTTAATAGATAATTTTATGAAATGTCATTATCATTACAAAAAAAAAATCATAATACTTATAAGTTAAAAGTAAGTATAAATATACCCTTCTAATGTTAGATTACTTCTTTTAATAAAGTAATTAAAAATATTGGATTATTGTTTATCTTCTATCATTCTATGATTTAATTTGACTGGAAGCAACTGGCCTCAGCTTGTACGATATATAGAGAGTATTTAACTCAATTACCCTCCACTATTTCGTTTTGTCATGTTACTTAATTTTATGGTCGTCATAATTTTATCATAACTTTAAATGAAATGATAAAGGAAAAATTAAAAAAATCCAAAATTAAATTGAGCATGCATAACTAATGATATAATCATATTTTGAAAAGACTCATAAGTTCTATTTGATACAAAGCATTGAAAATAAGAGGTAGGGATTTGGATTGTGATTTAAAAAATCTATTCAAAGAGTGTTTAGCCTAAGAAATTGCTTGTTACATAAGATTGAACAAACTCATGCATGTGAAATTGGGGAATACATATCATGGAAAGAAATGATATTTCTTAGTCCCACCCCTATGGGTTCGCCTAATCCCATGTAACGAGTAATTACTAATACTAAATATGTTTTTAATAATTTTTTTCAATAGCATTCATCACAGTTCCCATCCTTTATTTTTAATGCTTTGTACCAATAGTTTAGGTCTGGCAATAATAAAATTAAGCGAGAGCGTTCAAAATATGAGGGAGGCTAAACGTAGCTTCAACTTGAAAAAAGTCTGACTGATCTCAGATCCCCTCCTACTCTAGCTGTGTCTAAAGTATCGAACTAATAAAGCATGCATCAATCTATCAACATATCAAGTTGCTTGTGATGTTGACAAAAGAATCCGAGATTTGAACTTTGAATGTGCTTTGCTTGACGGCCTTTGCTTCTGAGACCCATAAAAGAACATAATATTGACATATAAATACGGCCAACATCGTGATGAGAAACCACTCAGAGCTAAAACGCAAGTCTTAGCATCATTCACCACTCTCAGAGAAATGGCCTTGTCTGCTGTTTTCCTCACTTCTTCGCCTTCATGCGTCCCAGTTAACAGGCCCTTCTGTATCCAAAGGTCACACTCAGCGTCTCAAACGACGTCGTCGCTGATGCTGCCATCCCAAGGAAGTCGGAAATCCCAACACCAACCACTGAAATCCAAAAGGAGATTGTGTGGCACAGTGAAGGCATTACTGCAGAATGAGGACAAAAACTATACGAAGAACGTGGAAGTGTTGTCGCATGAGCATCTTCTTGACTCTTTGGCTAATGATATCGTTGAACTCTCCAACAACTACATCCGAGAGAAAGGATCTTTCTCCGTTGCTCTTGCCGATACCTCCTCTGTCAGATTCCTCAGGTCCCTCCCTGCATTTTGCTCTATGTTATATTGCAATCAATAAAATTAAACGACCTCCAATAATGAATGTGTGTTGTGTTTGACATGCATATGGTTTGGATTTTCAGGCGGTTGTTGAAACCTGCATACGTCAATACCATAGACTGGTCAAAGTGGCAGTTTTTTTGGGTGGAAGAGGAAGTGTTCGTGCCAGGGTATCAGTTAAAAAGGGCGATTTCTGCCCAACGAGATACTCCACAAGCTCGTTTACGACGAGTTTCTCACTATGGTACGTATTATCAACTTTCATTCTTTCCACAAACCTATCGCTACTTAGCGTACTGTATAAATATGTGTGTGTGTGTGTGTGTGTATTCTGCAGGTAGCACGAACGGCTGGGGCTTTAAACGTGGTTACCATCGACTACGACCTAACAGCTACGCAAGAAGCAGCCGACCGTTATGAGAAGAACCTCCAGTACTGGGTTGCCAGAAACGAGATAGCAAAATCCTCGAGAGGGCTTCCTAAGTTCGACCTGATGTTGCTGGGCATGGAGGAAGATGGACGCGTGGGTTCTCTGATCCCGGATCATCCGGTTCTTGGGGAGAAAGAGAGATGGGTGACTCACGTCAAGGACGGGAACGAGACGCGATTGACTTTGACTCTGCCGGTCATCAATTCTAGCTCCAACATCGCCATGGTGGTGGCTGGTTCTGCAAATGCCAATGCAGTTTATCATTCTCTAATGGATCGATATGATCCACAAGCTCCTCAACGCGTGTTTCCTGCTAAACTCATCGCACCTGAAGAAGGAGACATCGTGTGGTACCTGGATAAAGATGCTGCTTCCAGGATCTTCAAGGAAGAACTCCGTATCGAAAAACGCCCTTATTAGTCACCACTGCTTCATTAATATATCTTCTTGATTTTCGTCGGATCATTATCGACGTACGGCTTTTGAGAAATAAACCGTCGCCGTCTGTCGTGGCAGAGCCATGACATGTTCTGCTTCTGTTTTCGTCATGAATTTGCTGTTTGGTTTGTGACTTGGCACACATATGCTGCCTTCTCAATAAACACTAAGTGCAAAAAAGTTGTTTTACGGCCCACACTATCTTTTTCGCAACAATGTCTTTACCATTTTAGTTCAATAAGGTTCCGCCTTCCAAATCTAATTGTGCAGGTGAGATTGAATTGGAAATGAAAGCACAGGTCCAAGCGTGAAATTGAATAGAGCGGGGTGCTTTTTCGACACTCGAAGAGTGGAAATGACCAATCAGACGGCACCAAGTACCCTTGGGCACCCTGCCAACCAAATTCGAAAGACTGGGGGAGACAAAAAAAAACATGATTAAATTAAAATCCAATCATTTAAATAACTATCTTTACCGATTACTGGGTTAATCGTTATATAGAAATTGTTTTCCATAGTGGCTACCAATAAAACCAATGTAAAAATTTAGCTGGTCTTACATCTTACTGAACTCGCAACAACCGCTGCAAAATCCTGTTATAAAAATGATTTTTTTTTTTTGTATAGGTGCAATTCCTAATTGGTCGAGATGTTTTTGCTTAACATTTTCAAGGGAATAAGTATATATCTTATCAATCATTCTGCTGTAGTGCTTACCAAATGAGAAGCAGGATGCCCTATTATATCCATGGTTGTGCGAGTAGTACAGTAACATAAAAGAGCCGGAGAAATATATTTTACTTGGTATTGGCTAAACATGTTGCTAAAGATGTTAACAATGTTTTCCCTTAGTTAAGTTATGATTCTTACACTTGACTTGAAAGCTACACATTGTTATAGGTACATAAATTGATAATTTTGAAAAACTTGTTTGTTAATGTGAAAACACATTTTGATATGGTAATTAACTTTTGAAAAATGTCTGCCCTAGCTGGAAATTCTTCCACGAAAGTGAATTTTTTAAGTTTTAATATCATTTTTGTCAATTTTAGATCTTTAGTAGATTTCTTGCTAAACTAAACACACACACACATACACACAAACTAAAGTTAATAAATAGGCAAAAATGTAGTTGAAATTCGACAATTTCTTCTCTACTTACAAGTGAACATTTTTATTTTTATTATGTATAAAAGCTTCTCGCATTCGCTACAACTCTTTTTTTTAAATATATATATATATATATTGATGATTCATCATCTCACATACACACGACAATCAGTCCAATCTAGCCATCAGGACAATTACACTATTATACCACGTGAATTGAATTTTGCGCTTCGTTCAATATAAAGCTCGAGTAAACTAATGAAGTTAAGAAGATTCATGTTACTTTTATACTCTATTTTAATTAATCCACCGATCCTAAATATAACACTTTTATATTAGTGTGTATAAAATTTTATATTTATGACTGGATGAGTATAATAGATCTTTCCCCTTCCAATTGGGTTCCAACTTGCAACAGATTTTTATAAACTGGAAAAGTTCAAGCTTTACTATTACAAAGGAATCCCACCTTACCTTCTTTTTTTTTCTTGCGTAAAAACTTTACTATTACAAAAGGAGTTGTTCCTTAATGGCGCGCACTGTACCTTCGGTTTACTTTTGTCCGACTGTTTATGTTTATTAAATAATCAATAATGTTAATTTATAACATATAAATCTTTTAAAGATCTTGGTATTATTAACCAATGCTCATAAAAGTTATGAATGTAATAATTCGTCTCAATGATTAAAAGAATACATTAATTAAACTCAAATTTTGTGAAAAATAGGAGGCCTACAGCTCAGTAAGACCTATGTTTTTAATCAATTTTCAGTAAAATATTCATTTAATTTTAAAATTATTTTCTATAGTATAATTTTAATTTCAAAACCACAAAAGTCTCTATAAAAATTAAGAGAGATTGATAGAGAACATTTTGATGAAAAATTATGTATGACGTAATTTTCAAAACCTAGGTATAACGTCTCGCAAAATTTCAGGGCGATGTTTTTTTAAAATATTTTCAATAACTTTCTTAGTCAACCTGTTTTACTGAATTCATCTCTGTCACGACTTCACGTCTCCAAAGGTTTTGCGAAAAATAATTTTGATAAAAAGTAAAAATAAGTATACCCTTCCAACGTTACATTATTTTAAAAATAATTAAAAATATGAATTATTGTTTATAATCCTGTGATTTGATTTGATTCGATTGTAGTCAATAATTGAGCTTGCGATGTAGTGTTTCATTCAACTCTTCGCTATATCGTTTTGTTATTGCTTAATTTTATATGGTAGCATAACTTATATTTGGAAAAGATTCCTAGTCTTCGGAGACTATATCAATGAAACTAAGTGACTGTGTTCGAAATTTAAGGAGGCTAAACATAACTTCAACTTGAAAAAAGTCATCATGTCTCGTCCTTTCTTAGTCTATGTGTCTAAGGAATTGAACTAATAAAGCATGCATCAACGTTTCAACATATCAAGTTTGCTTGTGATTATGACAAAAGAATCCAAGATTTGAATGCGATTTGCTTCTCGGCCTTTCCTTCTGAGACCCACATTCAAGAATATAATGCTGACATATAAATACGGGCCACATTGTGTGATGAGAAACCACACAGAGCTATAACTCAATTCTTACTTATTCTCATCCAACACCCTCACAGAAATGGCCTTGTCCACTGTTCTCCTCGCTTCTTCTTCTTCATGCGTCTCAATGAACAGGCCCTTCTGTGTCCAAAGGTCACACTCAGTGTCCCAAACCACGTCGTCGCTGATGCTGCAACCCCAAGCAGCACCGAAATCCCAACACCAAACCCTAAAATCCAAAAGGAGATTTTCCGGCACAGTGAAGGCATTACTGCAGACTGAGGACAAGAGCTATACGAAGAACGTGGAAGTCTTCTCGCAGGAGCATCTTCTTGACTCTCTGGCTCATGATATCGTTCAACTCTCTCACAAACACATCCAAGAGAAGGGATCCTTCTCCGTTGCTCTCGCCGATACATCTTCCGTCAGATTCCTCAGGTTCCTCCCCGCGTTTTGCTTTATGTCATATTGCATTAATAACAAAAACGACCAATAATAATGAATATAGTTTTGACGCATGGTTAGTTTGGAATCTCAGGAGGTTGGTGAAACCTGCATACATCAATACGATAGATTGGTCAAAGTGGCAGTTTTTTTGGGTGGAAGAGGAAGTGGTCCTGCCAGGGTTCCAGTTAAAAAGGCGACTTCTGCCCAATGAGCTACTCCACAAGCTCGTTTATGATGAGTTTCTTTCCATGGTACGTATTAAAATTACATTATTCTTTCCATGAACCTAACGTTAGTTCAAGTACTCAATATTATTCTCCAGGTAGCAAGAACAGCTGGGACTTTAAATGTGGTTACGATCGACTACGACCTAACAGCTACGCAAGAAGCAGCCGAACGTTACGAGAAGAACCTCCAAAACTGGGTTGCCAGAAACGAGATGGCAAGATCCAGGAGAGGGCTTCCTAAATTCGACCTGATGTTGCTGGGCATGGAGGAAGATGGACGCGTGGGTTCTCTGATCCCGGATCATCCGGTTCTTGGGGAGAAAGAGAGATGGGTGACTCACGTCAAGGACGGGAACGAGACGCGATTGACTTTGACTCTGCCGGTCATCAATTCTAGCTCCAACATCGCCATGGTGGTGGCTGGCTCTGCTAAAGCTAATGCAGTCTATTATTCTCTCAAGGACGAGTACGATCCACAAGCTCCTCAACGCGTGTTTCCTGCTAAACTCATCTCACCTGAAGAAGGAGACATCGTGTGGTACCTGGATAAAGCCGCTGCTTCTAGGATCTTCAAGGAAGAACTCCACATCGAAAAACGCATTTATTAAGCACTACTTAACATATACCTTGTTCGTTTTCGACGGCCTTTGGGAAACAAATCGTCGCCGTCAGCTGTCCTCGCAGATCCATGAAATGCTCTTTTGGTTTGTGACTTGGCGCGCATGCGTTTCCTTCTCAGTAAACACTACTGCAAAAAGTTTAATTTACGGCACTTGAAAAAAAGTTTTCTACCCTGGTTGCATTTAATTGGTTTAAAAGAGTTTAAGAAGAAAAAAAATAATCCTTCACTTTCTACACTACTGGGTTGTGTATTAACTAATATGAAAATCCTATTTTCTGGGCAACTCAAAAGCCCTGGTTGAGCAACGCCCGAATGGAGAGAGGCAGCAATCACGAACCACACTAAAACAACCATGTGTTAGGGGATTTGTGGATTACTTCAAAAAACAACCGAGGAGGAGGTGTTTGAATAGCATTTAAAAACACTCTTTTACAAATCAAGATAAACTCTTTCATATATTTACTTCGTATGCCATAAAAATACTTTTAAATTATGGTTTTGATTTGATTCAAACAAGCTGAGACGAAGGTAAGAGAGGGAGAGGGAGCTGGGAATTTGTGATCTGGCGCACAATAACTATTTTACATTAATATATAAATTTATAACGGGGTATGAAAAGAGATAAATTTATAATTAAATTCAATAATTTAACTAACTATACTTGCATCAGTTGTTAAGTGGCGTAGAAAATATTTTCAATATTAGATACTAATAAAACTGGGGTAAAACGTAAGTCAATTAACTAGTCCTTCATCTTATCTACGAAAATACAACCAGTCACACTATCATCACTATATCATGTTGCGTGTAATTCCTATTTTGTCGAAACGTTTTTGCTTAACATTTTCAATGGAATAAGTATTCTATCAATCAGTCTGTTCTAATGCTTACAATAATATGAGAATCAGAAAATCCTATTCGGTTTTGGCGTGGTAACATGAATTAAAGGTAGTGCTCGAGAAATATTTGAGCAAGTATTGGTTATTAAACCTGTTGCTATAAATATTAACAATAAGTTTAATTTCCCTAGGAAGGTTATGAT